ATCACAGTAGAATATTTGATACTAGATGTGTATAAGAGACAGGGAGTGGACTGGCCCCGGCCTCCTCCTTTTGGAAAGTAAAAGAAAAAGAAATTTTGTATAGCCCAAAACACTTCATAACTGCAAGGGAAAGGCGCAATATAAATACCCAGTACCAGTACCAGAGGTTATTTCCGGGCGTGTAGAAAACAAAAATCGAAGCAAAGCTTATCATAGAGGCCTTGCACAAGAAAATACAGTACATTCCAACACATTTTAAAAATATATAAATCTCAAAATCTTAAAAACAAATGATAAAAACATTTCCTAGAATAATTTAAATATAATTATCCAATAGATGTTTTTCTTTGTACAAAAGGTGTAAGTTCTATTCAACTCAATTTTCCATTTGTCCCAAGTTTTTTTATTCAAGTTTAAGCCAAGTATATAAGGCTTAAGAAGTGGAATTAGTTTTGATTTGAGAAAAATTATCCATGGCAAGAATTGAACCATGGGACTGGAAGCCAGGCATCATAACCACCAGCTATTCAACTCCACTTTGTTTGCCTAAGTGCACTCTTGGAAGGAGATAATGTAATCGTATAAAATTTTATATTAGTCGCTGCAACATTAAATTTTAAAGCAAAAAAATAAAAAATTCTAGTATTTGGAAGTCGGCATAGAAAGTTATTGCTAGTTACCTTTCCAAAGCCTAATCACAATATACTAACACAAATAATTTAATATGCGAAGAAGATTTCTTCCAAGTTCTTATCACTCGTATCTCAATGTGAGCTAGATTAGAAACAGAAAATTCAGCACATTAATATGGAGATTTCACTTTATGTCGTAAAAAAGCGAGTGTACATCATAGGCATAGTTGTTTTGTTGATATTAACAACCACAATAAATGTGAATTTATTTTCTACCATGAGAAATAAAACATTAAAAAGATATTTAACGTCAGTCATAGTCATATGCCTTACCTCATTATAATTATTAACATGACGACCATCTAGGGAGAATGTTTTTTCTCTCTATTTCCCTACTGATTTTCTTCAAGCTTTGCTTTGTGGTTTATCACCACATAGTTTAGGTTTAATAGCATCTGAACACATTTACTTGGGAAAGTCCTAAATATATACATAATATGACTTTTAAGAATGTTGCATGAAATTTAGAAAATGATATTCAAATGTGCTGTTTTTATTCCATGGTCTTAATGTTTCATTAGACCAGAATATGCATAAATTAGATATTCTCAAAGAACACCTCATGAATTAGATATTGCATAGTTTTTATATGGACAGCACTGATTGGCCGATTTACCAAGTTGTTTCTATAATTATGTGTGTCTCACAAGTGTAATGCACCTTTATTGAAAAACTTGCTGAAGTAAGCACCTAATTTTCCCAGTTATCCCTTCACCTTCCAGTAATTTCCCCTTATTTAGTGGCATGTAGTGCGACAAGGGGAGGAAATTGTACACATCCCCAAAAAGCTTGCGCTTTCCCCTTCCTTTTCAACCTTAACAACATCTAAAAATATGCTGAGCAAAAAATTATGCTATTAGTAGTTCAAAATCCTATACTACAATTAAGGGGTTAGGGCCTTTCTCCCTATTTATTTAACTTTTGCAACCCATCATCCCCTTTCCTATCAATCTAAATTCCTAGTGTGTGCATATGGTACTCACATCACACACTTAAGATTTACTCTTCTGACATTTCCTTAGTAGGCAACAAATTAGGAAGAAGCATGTAAAGAAAATCCTTTTTACATTGTTTTTTCCTTATCTTATTTTTTTATTTGTTAGTATTTGACTGCAGAATGTCAAGTCAATTTTTTCAATATTGAGGCAGATTTATTACATCGAACATCATGATAATTTTACTGCAGTGTCAAGTCAATATTTTAAATATTGAGGCAAATTAGTTACTACATCGAACATTATGATAATAAACATATCCTGTGTCTCATTTTCAAATTGATTGCATCCATATCAAATTTCTGTTATCTAAATATAGGTTTAATTATTCGATTAAGTTCAATATGTAAGAATAATCATTGTGTTAGCTCACAGATCTTTAAGAAGCCAGAAATGTGATACGTATTTTTATTTAAATGGCTATTAATAACTGTGGTAAAATACAAGTGTACATTGAAACTTCAGATTCAAATATTGTTATAATATCATATATCAAAATGTTATAATCAAGATTACACGATTGTGTTTCAGTGTAGTTATCTCAATACAAGTGCCAAGTGTATAACTTTTACAAATCACAGTAGAATATTTGATACTTGATAATTCTATTGGAAAATTATTTTTTTAACAAATTGACAATTGAGAGAAATAGCTCAAAAATATTAGTTTCTTGTATCCAATTAAAAAAAAAAATCCATGGATAGCATATTTCTAATACAGTAGTTTTTAAATTTTTAATCTACATTGGCCTATGAGGATCATTTTCAGTGAGGCATCTACCAATGGCAAATCTTTTGGATGATATATTTTATTTTTTGCCAGACTTCCTTTAAAAAGGTGAAAGGTGACTATACAGGTTAAGCAGGAAATATTGTTTTATGTATTGATTGTTATTAACAAGAGCAGGAAAGATATGCTTATCAGCTTATATAATGATAATTATCACAATTTTTATTAAATATGTGTATCTTTTCAGGCTTTGAGATTTAATTTTTGATTATTCATTTAAAAAATCATGTAAAAAACAATATTTGATATTTGAATAATTTTATCAGATTTATATATTATATAGTATATATAGAATCCTGTTCCGCATATTAGTTCTGACATTTAATACACTGCAGTCCTCCAATCCTAGTTATATCTCCTGCCTGTTGATTTTCTTAACCTCTACCTATTCTCTCCGTTCTGTTTCCGGTTCCTATTTATCTGTTCCCAAATCCAACAAACTTGCTGGTGATAAATCTTTCTCTTCCTCTGCTCCAAAACTGTGGAACAATCTTCCTATTTCCATCCGAAATGCTTGTAGTACTGAAGTCTTTAAAAAACTCTTAAAAGCTCATTTATTTCCTAAATAATCCTCTTCCTACAATAAACCTTTTCTAAGCGCCTTGTATCCTTTGGCAAAAGGCGCTATATAAATTTCTATATTATTATTATTATTATTATTATTACTACAGTGTTACGTCACGATACCACTTGATACTATTCCGTTGCTATCGTTGCAAAATATGTTCAACCGGATGCCATTTTCTCCACGTAATTATTAAGATGTTGTATCCTACTTTTTCTTTGTAAATTTTAATTGATGATTAAATGTGTGTTCGATAACTAATATAATGCGAGCTTTTGTGTTTTTAGTACATTTTCATGGTAAAATATTAGATTTTAAAATGCCTACTCCAGAAAGCCTATGAAGTTATTCAGTCATTCAGACGGTAACCAACGTCTATTTACATCAGAGAGCGCCACCTGGCGTCGTGACAACAAGACTGTGGTACTCTATTGTGTAGAACTGTTTGATTGTTTGAGTTAACATCCATTGTAATTGGTTTAATATCGATCAAATAGTTTTACAATATAATATAAGTGAAGACAAAATAGATGAACAACAAACTGATTACAAGAAAAGTTCAATTTTAAACAGAAAGTAGATTGGCTTTCGTAAAATTTGCCAAAATGACACGATAAACAGCAATACTGTCTTTATAAAGTTCAACAGCATTTTATGAGAGCGCTTAAAGTCCTGTGGCAAACCTGCCTGCCTACACAAAAGTAAAATTCTCTATTTTTAGAAGTGAAAATGGAGTAATACATTAAGAAACTACCGGTATTGGTTTTTTTTTTTATTATTTCTGCTATTAAATGCTTTGTTCTTTAGGTTAGACATACTGTACAGTAGGCTATGTCAGATTACATAGGCAGATTCAAGGCCTAAAGGTATATTTAAAAAAAAAAATAAAAAAATAAGGGGAAAAATTTTCCATAGTTTGAGAGTGCCATTTCCGGCCATCTAGAACTGACACAGACATATAATTTTGCATCTCGGCCCCAACCATAGTGGGACTGAGGTGTCTCCTTATGTGAAATTAACTTTCTAGGCTCCTTCCAGTGGCAGATCCAGAGATGTTCGAAAGTGGGGCCAATCGAGAAAACACTACCCTAGGGGGTTGGTGGCATTCCCCCGAAAATTTTGTTTGACGCCCAAAAAATCACCTCTGAGGTGTTTCGGGCGATCAGTTATTTCTTTTTCTTTCCATTTTCTTTAAACTTTCACAAAGTGGGAGGGGGAACGCACCCAGNAGCCCTCCCCCCCCCCCCCCCACACCAAATCCGCCCCAGACTTCTATTTCAAATTTCCTTGATCTTACATTGCATATTCAGCTGTGAGAACTTTTCTTCACTTGAATCTTGGAAAATATAATGCAAAAATTGAATTCCAAATTGCATTGAGAGAAAATATTCCTCACCAGTTTAAAATCAAAATATACCATTCTTTTCTTTATTTAATTTGGCTGATATTATCAAGGATTTTTATTTTGAAATGTCTATATTTCAGTGAAAAGTTTATTATTTTGATTTGTGTTTTTATTGGTTATTAATAAATTATTCGATATTTTAAAATTACTAATTCAATAATCTAATAAAATTGTTGGCATTTTTTTTTACAATTTTACCATAGACAGCCTATATTTCTTTTAAAATGTATACTTTATAGACATTGGCAGTTGGCACAACTTGTCAGTATGTATAATGCTACATTGTCACAAGTTCTTGTCTGTCATCCATAATCCTAATGAATTAAAGTGTCTATCCATGGAGCCATACTAGATAACTTCATGAATAGCACTAAGCTTTATCAACATAGAGCTAGTTCAAGTGTCACCTTCTTTAGAAGAGACATGTTAGTAACAACCACTGATCTCTACTGTAATAGCAGGATTGCTCATCGGCCAGTCCCTGTACAGAAAAGAGTGAGGCCACCAACGCCATGTTGGAGGGCCTAAGTGATGTTTCTTTTGGCATTTGTTTAAATTATTGTTAAAAATAATGATTATTGCAATACTTTTCAATAATAAATTTAACATAAGATTTTTTTAAAAATCTTCTAACCACTTGACGGCGACTGTTTATGCAGTTTACACAAGCACAAGCAAAGTCGCGTCGTTATAGTGACGCTGATCACTAACAACGGCAATAAGTTTGCTTGTGCTTTTTCAAATTGCATAAACGATATCGTCGAGCGGTTAGATGATTTGAAAAAAATCTTGCGTATAAATATAAATTAAATTTATTATTAAAAAGTATTGCATAAATTGTTATTTTTAACAATAATTTAAACAAATGCCAAAAGAAACTTGTCTAAACTGATAACGTCACCTATAGGTCCTCCAACATGGCATCAGTGGCCTCACTAAAACCAGCCAATGAGCAATCCAGCTATTTTAGTAGAGATCAGTGGTAACAACATACTGTTAATATTATAAGAAGCTGAGCCTATGAACCTTGACCTGTGGCCCATAAAAGTACCAGTTTACTAAAGATCAAGGTGATGTTTTTTATCCCAGTGGGAATGATTTACATGGTTGACCTAGTCCTGACCCCTTGCTTATTTGTTGATGACTACTGTAGATACCTACAAAAATGGGGAGTGAAGTAATTAGTCTGTCAGTGCTAGATATCAACAATTGCTACCAGATGACCTGGATCACAAGTGTATTGGCTCTAAAAGCTCTCTGTTGTTGGGCCAAACCAGGTTGTCTGTACTAGGTTTACTGTAGTATACCTCACTTTAGTTTTGTTGCCTGTAATACTAATAGTATATGAAACAAGGAAGGTTCATCACCCTGGTTGTGCTGGTTGTGTCCTACAAGCCTGCGATAGTAGTAATATTGCCATATTGATATGGTAAGCAATAGAGAACACCCCTTCTCCTCCCCACCAATCTTTCCACCAAAATAAAAAAAATCAGTAGAAATCCCCTCATTATCTTTCTGTGTGATTAACATAATAATGATAATGATAATGATAATGATAATGATAATAATAATAATGTTTATTTGGCAAAGTAAGAGTACAATCTTGCCAGGAGCAAAGAATAGGCACGAACCCAAACAGTAAACTGCCCTTGCTCCATCATCAAAATATACAGTAAAGGCAAAAGAGAAACATAAAAAAAGTAAAACTGATTTAAAATAAACTTAATTAACAAAATTAAAAACTTAACCAAATTTAAAAATCCTTATTTTATAATTGGTACTAACATAAACTGGTTTTCGAATTGTTCAAAAAAGTATCACCCATCAGTTTATTCAATTTTAAATTTCAAAGATTTCTAATTCTTATTTGTAGGTGCATTCTCTTGTTTTAATATAGGATCCAGTTATTTTTATTTATTAAACAAATCAGATTGGGTTGGAAGGTTTAAAGATGTTTACTCATTAGAGATTGTGATTTTGTAGTGATTTACTGTATTATTTATTGGCCTGTTACTAAATTGATACTTTTGCCCAATGAAAATATCCCATAAACATCTATAACCTTTGATAATTGGCTCCTGTGCCCTTTCACCAATGTTAAAATTGTCATGAAGCTAGTAGCATTGCTTGTGGAAAGAATAGTGCGGAATTCTTTTAAGTACTATATAATATATAGGATGAAAAAAAATGTGAACAAAAAATTTTCCCATTATTTATTGCATGCTCTTCATTGGCAGTTGTGGCAGATTCATGAGGTGAGACTATATACACCTGATGAAACTGCTATCACTGCCAGCGAAAGCTTGAAATCTCATGCAATAAGTAACACCAGATATTGGTCTCCGAGGGCTGTCACTTTTTTTTTTAGCTTGTCATTGTTTTGACTAACAAAGCTATATTGCCACAATAATGTATTAACATTCATATTGAATATAGCTACTGAAATTGAACCTATTTCAATTATTTTTGTTAGTGTTACATTTCAATACATTAATATGTGTTCACAGGTGATGTTCAATTCCCTGCATATGGTAACTTTCAGTTCATTTTCCAACAGAAATTTTGATATAAGTCTGATCTTTTGCGAGTAAGTCTGCTTCTAAATCAATTGGTCCAAGTATTCATGCTTACCCAAGACATACAAGTTTTGGAAATATTAGTATGGAGTGCTACATAATAATAATAATAATAATAATAATAATTATTATTATTATTTTGAAGCTGATGATTTTGACAAAAAGTCAATTTCCCGCACAGGAGCAATGGTAGCTCCAGACATTTGCTAATGAGGGGTCCAACGGCAGGGTCAGAACCAAGGGGCCAACTAGAACCTTGATCAGGGTCCCAGAATAAAAATTCCTGGTAGGATCTGTGGGGAGAGTTTCGGTGGCTTAAATGGACCAAATTGTTCTTTTAGATCACAATATTTAATGATTCGAAATCAAAATTAAATAAACAAACAAAATAAAGTTTTGGATAGGCAAATTAATATTTTTCATCTAGACGACCTCTTTTTGGCATCGGATGATGGGGTCTGACGGGTGGTGGAATTGCCCTCCCTGCTTCCGGCTGGTGCCACCACTGCACAGGAGATATCCAAAATCACCTACAATTTTTTTTTTTCAATTTCAATTTTTTTTTGTAGTAACATTTAAAAAATTGTACGACCAGAATATGATATAATTTTTTTTAAGACTTCTATAATTTTTAAAATTGTCTACTCTAATTGATGTAAAATTTGTTTACAGTAAACAAAGTAGTATGTCACTCATCCTGTGGAAACCGTTGTTTTGGACCCGGTGCTGACGAATGCTGCGATTCCAACTGTGCTGGTGGATGTACGGCATCTGGACCTGACAACTGCTTGGTAAGTCTCAAGAACAACCAATCCAGTCTCTGTTTTACATTCAGATACGATCATTTTGGCTTCATGTTTTGGAAGCCTGTAGATTTATTGAGCTATTAGTATTTGCCCATAACAATGATAAGAAGATAAAGATGTTAATATTTGTTTAATAAATATTCGTTTTGACGTTTATGGGTAGCCATACAAAATTAAAAATATGCAGCCTTTCTTCGACAAAAAAAAATGTACCCAGAAGCATTTTAAAATGCATTCCAGCATTCAATTTTTTTCCTGAATTACTAATAGTTATGTCATATTGTACCTTGCTTTATTGGCTTTGTTTATTGCAGTATCTGACTCTATCACCAATAAAGTAAGGTCTTTATGAAATAATATACCGGTAACAAAATTAATTTAGAATAAGATAGTGAGTTTAGTATGCAAGAACCCTCCAATGCCATCATTATCTTTATCATTATCTTCATCATTATCATCTTCATCATTATCACCTATATTATCATTATTATCATCATCATTAATATCCGAATAGTCAATCAATCTATCATTTACTTCAATTACCTTGTCTATACAAATTGTATCAAATAGCAAATGGCGACACCTATTGTAAGTCGCAGCTTGTAAATTATAGGTACGCATGTGAAATTAACTACACTTGTGAAAGAAAAGAAATTAAAAATTTTAAAAATAGTGTCATCTTGTTTGCTTATTATAGCTGTAGAACTGTTTTAATCATTAATAAACCAAACACAATGGAGGTTACTTACTGCAATCGTCATCGATCATCATGATCATCACCGTCTTCAACATTACCATCTTCATCGTTATCATCTTCAGCATTATCGTAGCATATTCATCATTATCATCTTCATCTTAATTAACATTATCTTCATCATCATCTTTATATTTATTATCATTTTCTTCATCATCATCATCTTTATCATCTCTTCATCATCTTCAATATTAACATCTTTATCATTTATCATCATTATTACCTCATAAATTTCATTATAGTATTTGTTTTTATCTTTATCGTTATCTTCATTATCATCTTCAACATTATCATATTTATTATCATCTTCATCGTTATCAATTTCATCATCATCTTCATTTTCATCATCATAATCATCATCCACACTTTCATTATCACGTACATCATTATTATCTTCATAATCAGATTGATTATCACCGTCAATATTATCTTCATCTACATATCATCATTCAGTTC